AAACTATTAAGCAACAGAAAGATATAGAATGCAATCAAATTAAGATAGATATGGCTAATTGGAGTACAAAATTATTCAAACTTTCATTAAAAAAATATATTCGAGATGGTACTATATATAATTTTATTCATGCATTAGAAGAAAAAGATGGTAAATCATATTCTAATATATCCTGGAAAAAGTGATTCATACATTTTTCCCATATAGAAATATCTCGAAACTCAGCTTCCTCAATGTATTGTATTGTATCTTTACTATGTAAAGCCTCTTTGGAACTAATTATTTTTTTTTGAGTGAATTGGAAATTCGAAGCTTTGATTCCTCATTTTTATTATAAACAGAAAGTGGAATAGTAATAGTCTTTCCATTAGCTGATGCTGTAAACTCACCCTTTACTATAGGTTCCCAGCTAGCTCGATGTTGTCATCTAGTACCAAGAATAAATAATAATATATCATTACCATTATTATCTTTTTCTGTTGGTAAAACTGAAAACTCATCTGAAATTATTAAGGTATCCTTTTCAATACCTATAGTAACAGGTATATCAGAAAAGCTTCCAATAGATTGTTTTTTGCCTACAGCACCTGTTAGTCTATAAATCTTTTTTCTATCTAATTTTAACCCAAAATATTTTATAAAATGGTTTGTGATATTTTCAGAAATATGTGACCCATCTGAACCTGTATCGAGTAATGCATGGAGTATTTCTAAATCATATACTTTACATAAAATAGTAGCATAATTATTGGGTTCTTTTATTTGCAAAAAGTTTATTTTTAATGGGTCAAACCAATTTCGATATAATTGAGCTTCTTGATATTGTTTTATAGCGTAATTTAAAGAGGAAGACCCCTCTACCTTCTCGAGCTCGTGAGAAGAACTAGAGCATGCTTGGAATAATGGTTCTAAAATAACTTGATACTTTTTTATTATATTTTCCCAGACCTTGTCTACTTCTTTTTTTGTATAGTTTTTTAAATGATATGAATAATATGAGTCTTTCATTTCAGGAAACAATTTACTAAGATCTGTATATATTTCTGTTAAAACTTCTTTAGGGCATTGGGGAATATATCTTGTTATTATATATTTAACCGATTCTAAAAATATCTGATTTTCATTAATAGCCTTTTTACTAGTTTTTGGCTTATTGGACTTCTTTTTTATAGACGATCTAGAAACCCTACTTTTTTTTTTAAATTAAAGCAATTAGTTTCTTGAGATTCAATCTCGCTATTTTCTTGGTCACTTTCTGTTTGGCTAGTTTCTTCTTGATCGTATTCAATTTCATCTTTCGATTGGCTTTGGCTAATATATCCATATTGAGAAATATTATTGATCTGTTTAGCTTTTTTAGATACGGAGTGTCCTGCTCTGCAGACTTTGGGGCAATTCGTTTTTGTATGCCCAGCTTTTCCGCACATAGAACAATATCTTGTAACAGTTTTTTTCTTGGTCTTTGTAGGCTTTTTTGTGGCGTATAATTTTTTTGATTGTATATTAAAATTCATATAGCCTAATCTGTTATATAATTCTTTTTCAATGAAATTGTCCAGAGCATCAGGGTCACGAGATGCATCATCCGGGTATTCTAATCTTTGCGCAATAAAGTCTAAATGATCTAATGCTTTTTTATATTGAGATTGGTTTTCTGTAGGTATTGTATTGGGTAGAATTATTGGAACAGATATATTACTATTAACTTCATTGTATATAAAGGTAGAAGGTTTTCGTTCGAGCCATGTATCTTTAACAGCTATGAAGAATGCATTTATATCTGCTGGATTTATAATCTTTACTCTTGTAAATAATTCATCTGGCAAATGGGTCCATAATATAGCCAATGCATCTAGGTTATTATTTGGTGTTTGTAATAATAAAAGGTGAATTCTATCTTTATAGCTTTGGGGAAAATCATTAGGTAAGAATTTTTCTTGCGCCATTTTGATAAAGAAGCATTGTGAGAACCTATTGTCTCTTCATGATATTTGTGTCGTAACTAAGCCAAAAATAGTGCTGGAGTAACAATATCTGTACTTGCAGGATATTAGACGGGAACTGGGGTATATTTACCAGACATTTTAGATTTTAAAATTTCAGCTTTTATGGTATCATTAAACCCAGCAACAGCCAATGCCCCTCCATATGTAAATACTTGTACTATTTTATTATAATATTCATCTGGGGGTTCCTGGCCAGTATATTGGGGAATTTGGTCAATTAACGGGGATAAGGAAGACATTACATCTTGTAAGGTTGCCATGTTTTGAAAATTTGCTATGGTATTCTGTAGTAATATAATTTGTTGATTCAAATTATTAATTATTTGCTCAGAATGTCGGGCTCGGGTTTTCCACTTACTCCACTTACCCCTCTGATTGTCAAGTTGGATATCAGCAAGAAGAAGATCATTTTCCTGCACTCTACTCTTTTTTCGTATAATATCTAAGAGATGGAAAGAAATTGCCTCACTTGTTCTGCAATCTTGCAAAAGCTTCTGAGTCCATTTGTTTACAAGACGCAACGCAAATTTTTCTTGAAGTAATTCTGATATGCGCTTCTTTTTATCTATGCAAGTTGCTTTCAGTAAGTGATGATTAAGCTTGTGGGCTCTATAGGCTTGATTAAGAAGATCATAGTCATTTTGAAGTGCGCCTAACTGGGTTCGTAAGTTTGCTATCTGATTTTCTAAATAAATTGCGCGAGCATTCACCTGTGGATATATTTGTAGAACTAATCCTTCAAACCTGTTTCCAGCATCAAAAATTATATTAAGATTGTCTACAATACCATTTATTGTAGGTGCTATTGTTAGTGGGCTTTGGAAATACTGTCTAATGTTATTTATCTCGCGCTGAATTCAATTATTTTGTATTGTAGCCTGGTTTTCTGGCAAAGATAATCTTGGTAATCCTGGTTGTGCCATTTCTATAGTATTGTTTATTTTTTCATCTAGATTATCGATTTTATTCTGAAAAATCACTAACTGTTTTTCCAGATAGCCTATATAGTTTTCTTGGCTTTCAGACCTTTGGAGTGCCTTTTTTAGATCTTCTTTTAAGTTAGAAATTTCTGTCCGTAATGGGTCCAGTTCTTCATCTCGAATTAAGATTTCTTTTTCAAGATATAATATATAATCTTCTTTTAAGTTTAGGTCTTGTTGCAATTTGCTAACCTGGCTTTGGATTAGTGATAGATAAGCTGTAAATTGATTGATTCTATCACTCATTCTTTTTGCCTTCTATTATATAAAGGAGAATCAAAATGGGTGAACCTGTTATTTATATTGATTCTCAAAAAGCATGTGATCTTGATCGAGATCTTGCTTTGCAGAAGCTTTATTATCAACCTATAGGTTACTATAGATCAGCTAAAAAACTATTTAATGCTTCTCTAGAATCGGGGTATAATTTTACTTTAGATGAAGTGGATGAATGGCTTAGTAGGCAGGCTTTGCATCAGATTCATAATCCCCGGCCAAAGTTTATTCCTAGTGCCTCTTTTAATAATATACGGATTCCTAATGAGTGCCACCAAGCTGATCTTCTTTATTTGCCTCATGATATAATTAATAATAAAATCTATAAATATTGTTTATGTATAGTTGACATGGCTTCAAGATTTAAGTGCGCAATTCCTTTGACAGATAAGACATCTAGTAGCGTCATTAAAGCTTTCAAAAAAGTTTATAATAATTCTAAATACCCTCTTATTTGGCCCAAATTATTAATGATTGATGCCGGTTCTGAATTTAAATCTGATTGTAAAGATTTAATGGAAAAATATAATGTCAAAATTAAGGTTGGCACATCTTATAAAAGCCAGGGTATTGTTGAAAGATTTAATCATACTTTAGCTGAAAGATTGTTTCGATTGCAGGACTCTTCTGATTTATTGCTACCCCTATCTAAAAGATCGAGAGCCTGGGTTAAGAATCTGCCTATAATTGTTGAAGACCTTAATAACTCTGTTACTCGATTGATTAGTATGTCTCCGGCTGAGGCTATAAAAGAAAAACAAATTATTTCATTATCTTCTAAATTGCGCAATAGCCCTATAGGGTTTGATGAAACTAAGATACCTTATAATACTTTGGTTAGATATTTGCTTGAACCTGGTGAGTTAGAAGGTGGGAATAGGCGTGCGACAGATATGAATTGGTCGCCCCAGATTTATCATATTCGTGAAGCCTTAGTACAAAAAAATTAGCCAATCTTGTATTGGCTAGAAGATGATGAGGGCAAAGGACCAAGACACTCTTTTGTATTTGAAGAGCTTCAAATTGTAGACAATATTGAATATCCTCCTCAGTGGGTACTTAATAATTAAGAATTTTGGAATATTCCCACCTTCTCGTGATTTCATCACTCAAAGTCAGACTAACTGGTGTTCAGAAATATTGGTTAACTAAAAATCTTTTTTTGAGCTTGCGAGAAAAAAGGAATATTCCAAGTGGGTATTTGTTATGTGGGCTGGATATTGGTTTTATTAAGATAATAAGAAGTCTTCTGCTTCTTTATCAACTTGTTTTTCCGTAATAAAATGATCCTTAGCTAATTTATAGTATAACTTGTATAGTTCCAAAATAGCGCTAAGAATTCTGAGATCTCTTTTATACCATTCTTTGTAATCATCTATAATTTGATGATACTTATCCTTGGTTGGGATTAAACTTTTTGCGTTTTCTAGAATATGTTTATTGGGGTCTTCAGCTTGGCACAATTTTTTGATACGCTCTTTATACCCTTGCATGAACTTACCTTCCTTTGGTTTTCTATTGTAGATTCCTGCTTTAGCTATGTTAATTAAAGCTTGCTCGACTTTTTTGTAAGTGGGCTTGGTATCAACTTAGGTAGCTTGGGTTTAGTTACTCATCGTTTTGTATATAATACCTTATAAAATTGTTTTATTTAAATATTAATTTTGTATATATTTACATTATGTATGGTGAATATTCCTGCCCGTTTATCAAATTTTCTGGTGAAACTTGTGGTAAATCCTATATGCGAGAAGAAGGGTGTTCTATTCACTGGAAATATGTTCGAAAATTAGCTGATAAACCACTTATTCCTTGTAGTAAATGTGGAAAGCTTACTAGATCATATCC